AACCGTAGTTTCTATGATGGGTAACTGGTATTAAGCCAGCAAACTTCAATGTTCACTTCCTCAACTTACCATCAAAACTTTTAAGGCTGATATCCGTCTACATACATAGTCCATATTCTAGAAGCTGCATTCAAGGAACGAAAAGTCCGTGATCACTTCGTAGGTTGCGACAACCGTCTATAAAATTTAAAGTGACAAAATTGTCGGAATCATTCTTGGTGGTCTTGGAAGTCCACGAAAGCTTGTTGAGGACCGAAATGACTATTGTTTATACATTACATGGAACTAAAAACACTACAGGTATAACTAAGTAACGATTCCACAGGAGAGTTTGTAGTATTCCAAGATTATAGCTTTTAGTTATAGGCATATTTTTTGTGTCCACGATTCAAAGTGTGATCTGTTTTGGAAAATGGATAGTACAAGCGATGGATATTGTAATCCAGGCGTTTTTGCACGTTGTAAGAGATGATTACACATTGAAAGGCATCGTGAGATTTGTTTACACCAGTCAACTTCCATAATATCTGCCTGAGCATATGTATAGCCAAAGTAAATATGTATTTTATTGGTAACAACAATAGCCAGTACTAGTTTGTTTTCCTGGAGTCGGCAGCTGCCCAGTATTGTTGTTAGGATAAATCACAGGAAAATGGAGTGTTTGCTTTGCAAGTGGATAAAATGAATAAACGTCATCTGAAACTATCGTAATTATGCTCTTCTGGAACTCCGTAAAACTTTTAGTGAGTTTTTAAATTCATCCCACGTCAAAAGCCTTTGAGATAGGATTGTCCGCCGAAAAGTATCCGTTAGGTCAGTAAAAATACACTTAGAAGTACACTAACGCAGTACTAATACTGAATGAATGGACTAAAAATTACGGCAGTCACAAAAGGACGCAACATGCAAACTCACCTACATGTAGCCATTGATTAACGATCAAAAAGTGCAACACCGAGGTTTTCTTCAGCTGAAAGACAGTCAAAAACTTTCGACACACATTGAAATATATCTTACAGCGTTTCCTGAAATATACGGACCTTCTAAAAGCACACATAATATTAAGTTGTGCAAGCCTACAAACGGTACCGACATGAGGTACTTTAAATACGGAATGACCGCCTTAGGCCAAGCCGCTCAAGGTTACCGAAACGAGAAAGCGGTAATTCCACTTCCAAACTATTGATGACCAGAGTTGGCTGTTGATTTGTCACACGGTAGGTTGCGTAGTGCTTTTAGAAGATACTTTTCGGTTTTTTGCGGTTCCACTGTTCATTGTTTTACGCGTGCTGTGTTTTTAAAACTAAAGGGAACTAGTGTTTGCCCAGTATTACTTCATATACTTTTAGTATTTACTCTGAATAAGCATATTGTTGTAAGAATAGTCTAAATCTAGCTTCTTTTACTGAGTTAGCTGATAGAGAGTGGTTTTATGTAGGTTTGGTTCAAAATGCCTGCTCGATTGTAGATCCTCAGTTATCTGTAGAGCTGATCGATTCACTACGAATCATTGTTAGTGTGTCCGATACGTTCCTTAAAACTATTTAGGAAAGCTGCAAAAATTAAAGCAAATTATCTCACCGAGACAGGACCTTTCAACACCTTACAGATAATTGGGTTTTCTTCATCTTAAGCAAAACAAAACTTTCGGCCTAAGCATGAATAATGCATATATAGTTAGTTGCGGACCTTATCTATGGGTAAAAATGAGTTTTTTAAGGTATCCGGGCGCTTCCTTGGAAACTAATAAGCATTAAGTTCTGCCAAGTTACTTTGAGAGTATATGAGATATCTCATATACTCTCAATCATGACATATGTCATGATTTTTGAATGTTAAAAGTGTAGAACAAATTGTCAGTTTGATATCATGACATTTTTGTGCGTTAGCATGCGCTTCAACATCATTTTAAAGTAAATGTTCAGCTGGCTTCACCTTCAGATACAGTAGTGTTAACAATTATAGGGGTGGATTCGCTTCGTAGTCGTCTAAATATGTTGAATGCTTTTATCGCTTAGGTAGCTGTTGACTGCAGGACTATTAGATTAATTAATTAATTTGAACACATAACTATTGGTACAAGTGGGCACCAAATATATGTGCGCCACACTATATATATATATATATATATATATATATATATATATATATATATATATTGTGGTCATGTTAGAGGTTTGTGCACAGTGTTGATTCATAGTTTTAATTGAGTTATTTATGGACAAAGAATACGTTCACTGAATTAGTGAGACCAGTTTATGGATAACTTTTGGGCGACGCTAAAATGACCTTGATCATGTCCACCTATTAAGACTAAATGAGGGTTATAAAGCCGTGTGAGTAATTAGAGCTATGATTTACAGTTGATGGTTGGGTTTAGGAATTAGATTTAGGGTTTCCTCACAAACTGACATAAACTACAATGCCAAAACGCTACTTGGCCAAGTGGTTGAATGAATTCCGTGCCAAAATCCAAGGCCTGTTATCTTACATCTGATTAGTTTGTCCTTAGTCTCGCCACCGCACTAGTATGTAAGAAGACATTCGTGATTTTGTTTCCATTTTATTCCCGACGAGAAGTAGAAGCGGGCGAATTAGTGCCAAATAAATATGTGGGATAGCTACAGTCTATATCTGGGTAGGATTTTCTGTCCTCAATTAGCTATGAAACCTTATTCTCGAAAATGATTAATCTCTTCGTCTGAATATTTTAAGTTAATAAATAAGTCTCCTAGTTGTAGACCAATCCTTAAAAAAATCAAATAGTGATAGCTTAATCTGTACATGAATGTCTATTACAAAGATAGAAATGGAAAAATCAAGTTACCCTTACAAACACCATTTTGCTGTTAACCATTCTAATGACAGTTTTCCTTAGGCTATGACTCAGTTACTATAGTATTAATAATTCAGTTTGTCTTAGGATTTATTGTTGACTGAAAACATCGAATGATAGTAATTAATGCAAATTCACCGTACCGAGACCTGATAGTAGTTTAGTATCGAGGTATTATTGTTAACTGCTTACGAGTTTATTTCTGTTATCTTACCTTTATCAATAAGTGGTTGGTATGTTACGTATACCTAACTACCGTCTACTTTGATATACACACCAGGGTTGAGTAGTAGGTTGGAAAAAAGGCTGGGAGCGGACAAATCGAGACGTACCATCAATTCATAAAGTCATTGGCTGGGCGATACATCAGTGGTGCTCAACTTTCATCAACTAGGTCGCAGGTTCGAACCTCGTCAAGTACATGAATTTATACGTGACAAATGAGCTTATGAATCAGAATTTCATACTTGCACTTTATGACTCACATTTGTGTATTCGCTGAAGCGTAATTGGTTAGTTAGTTATTTTTTGATATTTGCAGTTTGCCAGATCGCACATATTCAGGATGGAAATTTTCATCGGCTTTATCAAAATGACTGTATTATTCTGCACATGGTAACCTAATAAAAGTAGAATTCTAACCTAATTGCTCCATTTTAGATTGTTTCACTTTTAACAACAGAAAATCAGCGAAATATAAAAAAACGTTACAACACACATGAGTAAAAAGAGGGGACGTCAAATGCTAAGGCTCACAAATATAAAACATATGATGACTAAGTCTGCCAGAGTGTGACTCCCATCTGATTTTCAACCGTGAGAAATGTTGGACCCTGTACATAAGTGTTTCGATCCAAGTTGTCTCACCTCATCAACACAACAGAATAGAATCAGTTGTATGGAAGACGAAGCTCTCCAAATTTATGTACTGTAAGTAGTGAGCAAATAAAAAAAATAATGAACATACAGTCGAGCGAAGGAGTTAAGTTTTGGGATGAAGTAAATGTAACATTAGTGCTTTTAAGTCGGAGGTAAAATAAAGTATGAATACATCAACAATACAACTCGTTTATAGCTATGTAATATTACCTTCAACTATGGGGTAGTGTTTCCGATATTATTAATTTTAGGAAGTCTGCAGCTTAACATGACCCAATCTCAGTCAATCATGTAGTGAAGCTATACCTTGTTTTGGATTAAAAGTTCGTAGTCTTCTTCCAACCTACTCTTACTCCATTCATGATTCCCAGTTGAGTTAGGTTGCTATGAATGCGTAACATGCCTCAGTGAGTTTGGTGATAACTGATGGTATTGTAATCTGTTTGCTTTCATTATTGGGGAAATATTGATTTCCAGGCATAACAATTCCTCTCAATATGGGTGATAGTTTGAGATAAACGATTATCTGCAAATAGTTTAAGTCTCCCATCATGATGGTCAGGTCTTCCCGGGCGCTGTCTCATAAAATTGATATTTCTCAACCTCACTGCTATCGTCAGTGGGCACGTACCACTTTGTTTTGAAGGATACTTTGGTGATCTTGTAGCTGTGAGTTTTCCATCCTATGAGCACTTTTCATGCTTTTGTTGGACAGTATATGTTAGAATTCTTATGCTTGCGGGGCGTTCTCTTCTTAATAATCAGAATACAACATCACCTCTCCCAAAGTTAGTCTTTTCCATCCAGATTGTGTCCAGCGGGCTTCGCTTATCTCAATAAGGGTCAGGTTATTCATCATTTTCCCCGTTATTTGAAAGACCTTCCCGCTATTTGAACCTTCTACTTACCTATGTTAATTGTTGCTCTGGTTTTTAGAAGGGACATCGGTCATCTAACTTTCGAAGAATGTTAGCTTTCATCATGAGAGGTCATAACTCTTTTATATGAAGACCCTTCAACTCTGCAGAATTTGTGGTCTAAGCGGTTGTTTCTGGCTAACGCTTTTTAGCGAGGTTCTTTTCTACGAGGGTTGGGATAGCTTACTCTCCTTTACTTAGGTTTGAGAGCGTCAGTAATCGTAGAGAGTTCCTGGTGGAGTTGATGTTTTTCTGAAGAATTCCACTTCTTAAAGTTTTTCTACACCACGGTCTAAATTTCTTATGCTAATGAATATTCTATTTTGATTTGTAGATTATCTAGCGGTAAATAGAATAATCACTTCCTGATGAGTCGAGAGGATGAATTCTCATCACTTGTCACCCAAGCGCGTCTAAAATGTGAGGAAGGGAATTTTCATGAGTCACTCAAGCTTTGTCAGGATGCCTACGCAATAAATCCTTCTTCTAGTCTTATGCGAAAAATTGTTCGTCTTCAAAATTTAGTAAGCCAAGATACCAAGGAGAACATTCCAATAGCTCCCGAAAAATCTGAAAATTCTCTAAAAGTAAGATTCTTGTTTTTACTGCTTATGCAAACAGGGAGCTGCTAAGTACTTTGTTTGCGAGTCTGAGAAGTATGTATCTCCTAGTAACATAACTGACAGCACTAATCTTCTGAAGGAAGCGTATTTATGTGTTCCATCAGCTGAGATTGAATCAAAGATTGGACGAAGTGAATCAGTTCATCCTACAACCTATACTGGTACTTCAAACACGAAAGAAGCTTCAGGGGAAGGGAAGGTATGTATTCGTTTTTGATAAATTTTCATGAACAAAAATAGCTTTATGATGGTACTCAATCCACTCTAATTGATAAAGCAAAATTATTATATCAATCTGGAGACTATGTTGAATGCCTTCGTCTTCTTAAAAAAGCCTACAACCTTAAGCAATGCGATAAAGTAAAGCGGAAAATTGAAAGGATCGAAAATTATTTGAAAGAAAACGGAATTCCTGTTGATCATTATGATTATAAGTTGCACACTAATAATGCTGTTACTGCAGGTGACCATGATGATGAAAAGGACCCTCCTAAACTCACCTATGATTTGGTCGAAATAGCTGATAGTTTCAGTGTTCCCAAGTTGTTATATGATAAATTGTATGATTATCAAAAGTACGGTGTTAAATGGCTTTGGAGTTTACATCAGAAAAATTCTGGCGGCATATTAGCTGATGATATGGGACTAGGTAAAACAGTTCAGGTAAGTGTATTTTGCAATTTAAGTCTTGTGGCTTTAGAAATGGACCCAGCAAACGTCTCATGTATAATGTTATTTAATTTAATACATTTCATTTTTTCAACTCGAAAGTGACTTATCTTTTTCAGAAAAATAGTTTTGTGTTCCTAGTTAGTGCTGGGTGAAAAACTGTTCACTTATTTTTTCCTGATTCCGTCTTTTTCCAGAACTAATCCCATCCTCACCTCATGTACCAAAGCTTAATCTCTTGCCTAGAGATCCTTAAATTACTTGGGAGTAACCGTACATATATGTCAAGTCAATGCAGTGCTATGGGCAATAACGGACTATTTCATACTTGGGATAAATAGAGACCATTGTTTCATGTTCTAGTTTACCCAATAAACTGCTGTAGAGACTGAATTAAGTATGAGTACTGGCCACTACTTTTGGACTAATGGTTTTATCAAGTTTATGGAGTAAGTAACTGATAACATTTCAGAATAGATATATAAGACTTGCTTAGTATTTACATACTGACATCTATCGTGCGTACGAAATAACCAGGTGTATAAGTTTGTCATTTGCTGAACTTTCTGCTTTTCGGAAACATTTGGGGTCTAATAAACAATAAATTGGTTAATTCTTCAGAGCACATCTGTATAAAAAATGTCTACGTTATCACTCATCAAGTGACGTTGAGTATTTGCTTATTATACGGAGTCTGAGCGTTTGACTCAGCGGACAAAGAGTGAGTTAGAATATCACTTTACATTCAGGTTAAATTTCTGGTTTCTAAAAACATTTTAAGAATGTAATAACTGTGTCTTAATTTACTGGTATTAAAAATTTTAAGTAAACTATATAGGAGTTTTTGAATACTGACTGTCTGATAGATGCGCTACCAACTCAACGCATTCTAAACATTAGATTACGCGGTCTCCAAGTAAGGTTTGTGGAAATTTGTGCCTATAGGTCTTATGTAGTTTGTTTCTCTTTGAACTTGCTAAGGTTAATTGATAAATATTAAGTAGTTAATAGTAGCCTACAGAGACTCAATGTTTTTGAACTAGACGTTTTGTGTTGCTACAGACAACTCCATTCTCCTTGGCGTGCTAAACAACGTATACTCATGACATAAATAGTGATAGCAAAACTATTTTCCAATCACTTTCACATTTCTCACCTCCAAGTTTAAATACGAATATGGTGTTCGTAATTATTTATTTACTTTAGGCTGTGTTAGTAGTAAATATTTTTTCTCCGTTAATTTTTAGGTTATTGCTTTTCTTTCTGGCCTGTTCGTATCTAGTAAATTTTCTTGCACAGTGTTGATTGTGATGCCAGTCAGTGTTTTGGTTACTTGGGAAGCTGAACTAAAAAGATGGGCACCAGGACTTCGTGTTATTGTTTTTCATGATAACAGTCGAGCGGATCGTCTTAAAAGTTTAGTATCAATCCAACGACATGGTGGTATTCTACTTACAACATACGGAACACTTGTTTCCAGCATAAAAGATTTGTCTACTGATTTAAATGCAAATCCTGAATTTTTAAGGTCATACAAAAAACAAAAATCCACTGACAATGATGCCAGTGATATTCTTGCTAGGATGGGTAAAGAATTTCATTGGACTTATTTAATATTGGATGAAGGACATAAAGTCAAAATTCATCTGCTAAGACGACCAAAGCAGCTCAAGCAATTTATGCAGATCATTGTATTCTCTTAACTGGTACTGCTGTACAAAATAATCTCAAGGAATTATGGTCTCTTTACAATGTAACTCATCGTGGTCGACTCTTAGGTACACAAAAAACGTTTTCTATTGAATATGACAAACCAATAACTCGTGGACGCGAGAGAGATGCTTCTCGTGCTGAAAAAGTACACGGTCAATTAATGGCTGAGAGTTTACGACGTATAATAGATCCATATTTTTTGAGACGCACAAAATCTGAAGTTTTATCTCAACAGTATAATATGAATGCGGCTGTACCGATTAAAGATAAAATGCCACGTAAAACAGAAATTGTATTATGGGTTTACTTAAGTTCCATACAAGAATCCACATATCGTGATTTTTTTACAACTTGATAACGTAAAAGAATTATTAATGCAACGTACAAAACGTTCACCATTAATGGAATTGGTAATTCTAAAAAAGCTCTGTGATCATCCGCGTCTTTTGTCCACTGAACAATGTTTAAATCTTAATTTAAATTATGATGATGGCAATGGTAAAGGTGATAATTTTCATATTGATGAAATTGTTTCACATAAAATACATTTTCCACCATCAGAACAACTGATTAAAGAATCTGGGAAGTTCTTGTTTCTTCATTGTTTGATGAAACAGTTTTTGCTTGAATTACAATCGAATCCACAAAGAGATTCACCGCGCACGTTGATATTTTCACAAAGTATAAAATTTCTTGATATGGCTGAAAAAGTCATTCTAGATATAAAATGTCCTGTTAATAATTATACATTTAATGACAATTTGCACTGTCCTACGCAACATCGTATTTTACGATTAGATGGTCGTACTTCAAAAGTATGCGATCGTCTAAGCATAATTAATAAATTTCAAAATGATAAATCTTATACAGTTATGCTGTTAACTACTCAAGTAAGTGTGAACGGATGTTAGTCACTTCTAAAGCGTTTGTTCGGATATACTATGTACTGTCACTAAGCCTTGTTTTTAGGTCTTTCCACTTAATAATGACTCTATGGTCAGAATTTTTGACTGGTATTGTTTTAATTTATTTCTGAAATATTGATAATTATTATCACATTGAAGCGGTGGCTCACCCACTATATAATAGGATTCGAGTCTACTACGCCTTTTTCAATTTTTAGCCAGATAATATCGCTAATCTTACAAATGTTTCTCATTTATATTCAGTGCGGTACATATTTAGTTGGTCAAATATGTTTTCGACGTTTTTCATACTTAAGTCATCACTAAACGAAAGATATGTGCTTTTCCAGTACGTTCGTCATCTAGTGCAGTATAGACTACTGTCGCTTGATACTCCACCTTTTCAGAAAGCCAGAAAGTCTGGCACATTTTTTCTGTCTTATTTGCTTTACGGAATATACTTCACTTAACATGGGTTCTGTAGAAGTTTTCCTGCGCTGAATTTACTTTAGTTATCCTTTTAACTGTCTTGTAACTAAGGCGTCTGTACAACAATCACCAACCATGGCTGGAGATGTTGGGTTATACGGTTTAGAATCGGCCATAGTGGGGGAGATGCATTCATTTTTAATATTCCGCTAGATATTCGGTTCCCGTATACGTTCACGTATTCCTTCCCATTCTGTCTTCTCAAACCATATTCTACTAAATGTTTCAATATTCGTGATATTTCTCTTGGCAAATTGTGTGTTGGGGTTCCGGGAAGTGCTACACTTGGACGTAGTGGGATGTTTGGTTTGTGTATTTTCGGCCTACCGTAAAGTCTAGGGAGTACTAATCTGTCAGGTTTCATTCTCTATTGATGTTGGCCAGGGTCAAGTTTGTTTGACGTCATGGGGATACGTACTATAGGACTGATCCCTAGAAGTACGATCTCCCGACCGTTGTTGCTACCTTAAAGTGGTGGTCGTGCTTGCCTATCGTGATGAAGCAACCGAGCTATAGTGACTGGAACAACCGTTCCTCAAGGTCCTACCACGTCGGAAAGGTCGGTTGAAGAGCGGTAAGACTAAATGCAACAAACCCAAGGTTCGAAGGCGAAGTCGTACTGCTGACTGTACAGACGTGTGACAGCAGTAAGGTGTTTCCTTCAGACAACAACATGACAGCGATGCTGCCTTCCCACAAGGAGGGTTGGGGTTAGAAAAGGTCGACCCTAAAAATCCACACCTCGCCTTATCCCACGGATATCCGTCTCCGGCGGTAAGGTCTCAACAAGTACGGAGCTAACGCAAAAATTGCCCATAAAAACGTCGTGCGCGACCGGCCTCAGGCAGTTATCCCTTGGGCACTGCGGTCACGCTCTCAGGTCATTAACACCGCCTCTAATCCAATTTCCTTTTCAGGTACCTCCAGAAGAACCCTTCCTCGGTGTGGGCAACCGGGAAGTGATAACCGCCCTCATACCTCTAACAGCACTCAAGACCACTGTATTCATAATCAAACTCCTCTTCAATTCCTATTATTCCTCCTACATCGACTTTCAACTCTAAACTTCCTCTTTCGGCTTCCTCCTCAAGTGTCACATAGCCAACGATTCTAGTGCTCAAAACTCTGTCCCAGGTCTACTGAAACCTCGCTCCAAACTACACATTGGAGCCTTCAACGTACGCACCCTATGTTAAATCGGTCAGCAGGCTTCCTTGGCAAAAACCCTAGTCTCTTACCATTGATGTATGCTGTGTCTCCGAAACACGCATACAGGATTCCAGTGTGGTCATTCACTTGACCTCACCTCGGCAAAACGGAGAACCAACGAGATACACCCTCCGTGTATCTGGTGACCCGACGGCAGCTCTCGTGGGCTGGCAGGAGTAGGGATAGCACTAAGTCAGTCAGTCAGCTACAACGTAGGACCAGGCACATATGTGCATCGGTCCAGGTTGCCATACCGCATCAGCACAACAAGATGAACACCGGATTCATAGCAGTGGTTATGTCAAAGGTGGTAATATATATAAAAAAGATTGCATATAGAGATATAGTACAAGAAGAAAAAATTGGTTCGTAGAAAGAAAGATATGAAGCGATTTTAATCTCTTAGTTTAAGGGAAGACAGGGAGTGTATACACCGACGCCATTGTGATCGATTCTGAGCCATGTCACCAAGAGTCTCCAACCATTGGTTACGATAGTCACGCGGACCCCAACCAAGTAGTCTGCATCTACCAACATGGCTCAGACTAGAAGTTAGTGACTTCAAGCACTGATGCCACGTTTTGGTTTGGCCGCCCCTAACTTTCTTCCAACCATCTCCAATACCGGATAGCATTGCACGTCGTGGTAATCGGTGTTCAGGCATACGTAACACGTGGCCCAACCATCTCAGTCGATGAAGATTCATAACCTCATCAACTGATTTACCATCATTCCCTAATACCCTGCGTCTAACCTCACTATTACTTACCCGGTGATCCCAGCAGATGCCAGCAATATTTCTAAGGCATCTGTGGTCAAATACTAGTAGCTTACGAGTGTCTTCTACTCTTAATGGCCATGTTTCGCTGCCGTAAATTAAAACAGAACGGACTGCCGCGCAGTATACTCGTCCTTTTATTGATAGACGGATATCTCGCCTTCGCCAAAGGTGACGTAAGTTGGCAAAAGCCAAACGAGCTTTTCGAATCCGTGCTGAGATTTCGTCCGATACCAACCCATTAGGGCTGATCAGACTTCCAAGATAAGTGAAGTTGTCAACGCGTTCGACTACTTCACTCCCTATCCTTAGTTCAGGTGTTGACGCAGACCAGTCCTGAAGCAACAACTTGCATTTAGAGGGAGAGAAGCGCATTCCAAACATTCTGGCATTGTTGCTTAGTGCTACCAGAAGACTCTGCATTTTGTCAGCGTCTTCACCAAACAGGACTATGTCATCTGCGTATTCTAAGTCGATAAGTGGACCTCCTGGAAGGAGATCAATACCCGAGAATTCAGTCGACGAGAGTGTTATTTCCATCAATAGGTCTATGATGAAGTTAAACAAAAATGGAGAAAGTGGACAGCCTTGACGGACACCACTTGAGGTTGCAAAAGTAGATGACAGTTCGCCATAAGCTCTGACTCGACTAGTAGTGTTCGAGTAAAGAGCCTTTACAAGGTTTATGTACTTCTGGGGTACGCCTTTCAATGACAGACACTGCCACAGAATCTCGCGGTCTACCGAGTCAAATGCTGCTTTTAAGTCGAGAAAGACCACCATTGTCGGACGCCGATAAGTATGCCTGTGTTCTAGAATCTGACGAATGGTGAATATGTGGTCGATGCAGCCACGACCAGGTCTGAAGCCAGCTTGGTTCTCTCGTGTTTGCAGTTCACGAGTCTTAGTTAGGCGTCTGATAATTATCGAGGCTAGTATTTTAGATATTATATTAGTTAAACTAATCCCTCTGTGGTTGTCACAGGATGATTTTGACCCTTTCTTATATATTGGGACGATAAGTGATTGTGACCAGTCAGATGGGATAACGTCTAACTCCCAGATCTTAGCTAAAATATTAGTCAACCTAATCGCTAAAATTGGACCACCATCCTTAAAGACCTCTGGAGCCAGTCCATCTGGACCAGCTGCCCTTCCTCGTTTCAGATTAACTATAGCCTTTTGAACTTCAGCAAGAGTTGGGGGACCTACTTCAATGTTCCATTCACGCTGTCTGGGAATGGAGGGTAGTTGTAGAGTAGCTGAAGGCCAGCTGAACTGTTCTCTGAAATGTTCCGCCCATCGTTCTAAACGTCTGGACTGGGAGCAGATGAGAGTATCGTCTTTTTCCGAAATAATCTCACTTACACTTGACTTATTAATTCCAGTTTCTTTTATTAGTCTGTAAAGCTGTCTTGTGTTCCCTATAGTCGCCGCCTTTTCCATCTCTTTTGCTTTCATTGCCCACCACTGCTCACGGTCGTTTCTTAGACTTTTTCTTAACCTAGATCTGATTTGTTGTCGCTCTTCATCATGTTCGGAACCTGATGGGACGAGTTTGCGAGAATCCATCAGTGTGATAGACTTTGAAGAAATCCACTGGTTCTTTGTAACTCTGTGGTTTAAGTCGCTAATAGATGTCACTGCTGTTTCCACAGCTGCTTGTATGTCTTTCCAAGCAACATCTGGGTCAGCCTCGTCTTCAGAACTGTTAGAGTGGATCCCCGTCAACAGTCGTCTATGTGCTGTTCGGCTAAACGGCTCCGTAAGAAGTCGGGAGGATAGGGACACACATCGTTGCCTTTTTGTCGTTTCTAACTACGCTCCCACCGACTGCAGCTCAGATGAAATGAAAGATGAATTTTACAGAAAGCTTTCTGAACTTCTTCAGAAAGCTAAACGCTCAGACATAGTACTCGTAGGGGGTGATTTATGCTCAATAGGTAGTTTAAACCAAACAGAAAGGCATTTAAGTGGATATTTTAGTATTCCGACACAGCGAACAGATAATGGTGATCGTCTGCTGCAACTATGCTCAGACAATCGTTTATTTTTAGCAAGACAAATTTTAAGCATAAGGAGAGACATCGTTTAACATGCTGAAGTAGTCGAACGCGTCGACAACTTCACTTATCTTGGAAGTCTGATCAGCCCTAATGCGTTGGTATCGGACGAAATCTCAGCACGGATTCGAAAAGCTCGCTTGGCTTTTGCCAACTTACGTCACCTTTGGCGAAGGCGAGATATTCGTCTATCAATAAAAGGACGAGTATGCTGAGCGGCAGTTCGTTCTGTTTTAATTTACGGCAGCGAAACATGGCCATTAAGAGTAGAAGACACTCGTAAACTACTAGTATTTGACCACAGATGCCTTAGAAATATTGCTGGCATCTGCTAGGATCACCGGGTAAGTAATAGTGAGGTTAGACGCAGGGTATTAGGGAATGATGGTAAATCAGTTGATGAGGTTATGAATCTTCATCTACTGAGATGGTTGGGCAACGTGTTACGTATGCCTGAATACCGATTACCACAACGTGCAATGCTATCCGGTATTGGAGATGGTTGGAAGAAAGTTAGGGGCGGCCAGACCAAAACGTGGCATCAGTGCTTGAAGTCACTAACTTCTAGTCTGAGCCATGTTGGTAGATGCAGACTACTTGGTTGGGGTCCGCGTGACTATCGTAACCAATGGTTGGAGACTCTTGGTGACATGGCTCAGAATCGATCACAATGGCGTAGGTGTATACACTCCCTGTCTTCCCTTAAACTAAGAGATCAAAATCGCTTCATACCTTTCTTTTTACGAACCAATTTTTTCTTCTTGTACTATATCTCTATATGCAATCTTTTTTATATATATTACCACCTTTGACATAACCACTGCTATGAATCCGGTGTTCATCTTGTTGTGCTGATGCGGTATGGCAACCTGGGCCGATGCACATATGTGCCTGGTCCTACGTTGTAGCTGAAACTGAAAACTCTATTGATGTTGCTTTGATATTTGTCCTGCTTCACAAATTTGTTCAATGCCTTTGAGATTTGGTTGTCTAACCTTTCGGTAGGATTTTTGTCCATTAATCTATTTACGCTTTTATCCTTAATTAGTTCCTCGGCTTGCCTGATATGTTCTTCGTTGTCCATAAACACTGTAGATCATGCTTTGTCCTCTGGAACTATGACAGTATCTTCTCTAGTTCTGAGTTTCTTTAAAGCTAGGTGTTGTCTTCTGTCTAGTTAGCAGTACAGTGGTTTGTCTTATTTCCTGTTGAGTTTCTTCACGTATTCCAGCAGTTTGGAGTGTTGAATTTATTACGGCGAACAGTTCTAGTTTTTAGGCGTCACTTGTATTGTAGTTTAATCCTCTTAGGAACAAACCATACTCTCAATATTTGGTATTTATAAATATCATTGCTACTAAAATTATCACAGCTTCTTTGTTATACATCTTGTTAACTTCATCTCGTCGTGATGTATTGTGTCAACTTGGGATAACTCATATTTGTTTTGAGCTTTACGTTGATTATGGCTGACGGACTTGCAACTAAAAAGTGTTTGTGTGTCCACTTCACTTTACAAAGTCTAGTGATAAATTCATCACTCTGGTAGTGTAACTGTTAATCAAATATCAAAGTTCAGAGGACAATAAATAATTTTTAAATCTTGTAATAATTACCGATCATAAACTGTATCTCAAGGATTTAAGGGTCTGAGAAAAGCTTATTTTAAATTCATAGTGACGTCGGCTCCAAGATTCTAAGGAAAGGACCGGTATATGAACCTACGTTACGCTTTCAATTTGTACACTGTTCCACCAGCTTGTCAATTGGACGTTCAAATAAAAAAGACTCAGATTTTTGTCTGGGAAAATCACCTATTTCAAGTTGGGATTTTCAAGCATCAGTATAGTCTTCGAAAATTTATGACTACTAGGATACAGAAAATGACTCCCTACCCACAAATACAAAAGTTGTAAAAGCTATAATTATTTTGTCGTAAACGAATTTATTTTGTTACAACTTATATTTTATGAAATAGCATTCTTATATACAACATATTAAACCCAAAATAAACATGATCAGATGTCTTTTAATAAATGAACGATTGGAGAATGTAAGTTTCGTACATCACTCGCTCACCAAAGGAATTAAAGTATAACTATCAGAAGTAATTCTTCTTCATCATTTCAGTTGCATTTTCGATAAATGATGAGATGATTTCTTTGAGTAATTGAAAATTATCTTTGCTAAATTCTTACTCGGACTGTAATGGTTTAATTAATAAGTTACACTTCTCATTACATTGATTAATTAAACCACTTTCCATCTATTTTCTTGGTAATTTTAGTCTCTTTGTGCGACGTAGTTTCGATACCCTACTGGGCTAAGCCATTTTATCTAATACCATTGAGAAATTAGTACTTCGTAGCTAATTTCTGATAACATTTTTTCGCTAACTCGATTTTCAATTATGCTTCACTTACGCTTTTTTATAACTTGATAAAAGCGTTATCCTTCACTTAATAAATATGACTAAGTTCATTAATATAAACATGTAATATATCTTAAACTAATCCATGCTCGGTTCATATTTCATGATTTTTTGTTGTAGGTTGGTGGTGTTGGACTGACAATTACATCAGCTAATCGTGTTATCATTCTCGATCCAAGTTGGAATCCAGCTGTAGACTCACAAGCTGTAGATCGTGCGTACAGAATAGGTCAAAAATTAGATGTAGTTGTATACCGACTGATTACTTGTGCAACTGTCGAAGAAAAGATTTATCGTCGTCAAATATTCAAAGATTCCGTAATTCGCCAGACAACGTCGACAGGCCAAAACAAAACGGACTTAGATCCTTACCGGTATTTCAGTCGCCAAGAGCTGGTTGAATTATTTAGTCTCGGAGACACACGTATTTCTGAAACTAAACGGCAGCTAGACATATTACACGATGGTTCAGATAGATGGTCTGATAGTTCCATTAGCCCACATTTAAAATTCCTTAGTAGTGATGCACTAAAGCATGTTGTTTATGGTTTATCGTTTCATGATTTAATGTTTAGTAAGGAATCTATTAACGAAGGAGCTATTGATACGGATCATGAGAAATTATACGTTATGAATCGTTGTGTTGCAGCTGAACGTGCCATAGCTGAAGAATGTGCTGTTGAAGGAAGAGTAATTGGAAAAGAAATGCCAGCAGTCACAATGACACAAGCAGAAAGTACTGTAAAATCATTGCCAACACATTTAGCAAATCTTAATTTACAAAATAAATTACCACCTTCCAGTTACCACAATCATGACAATCGTTTTAATAATCATGTACCATTAGATCAATTGTTCAAGCCTTCCAAGTCTGACACTCATAGACCAATGTTCAACAGACCAGTAACATCATTTAACAATCCACACACTAACATCATTTACACTTCATCTAATATTGAAAATCATAGTGAAAATATAAGTCCCAATTCAAATATACCATTAGTATGCACCACTGCTGAGCATCAATCAGTTGATCGAATTAGTTCTGTAAACGCGTACGGGGTAAATGAACCCCTCTCGCCAAAGCTAGGACGTCAGTTACAAGATGTTACTGAAGTTGTAGAAGTACAGAAGAAGAATGATAATGGATCTCTGGAAATCAGGAATTCTCCAATTGATGATCTATCGGATAATGAGTGCCTCGATACACCTCCTAGTGCACCAGTTGCTGATATAGAATGCATAACTATAGAGGATTCAATTACGCAAAGTTTGCGAGAAATAAGTATAACTCAGAAAACTCCATCAAGATCTCATGATAATGAGAAAACTAACAAAGGATCAAATATTTTAAAAACTCCACTTCATCATCTTCGAACTTCGTTAAATTCGAGGTCATCATTTGCACCATTCAATTCAAATTTTTATCGTTCTACTCCATTATCTTCAAGGAAGTCAACAAAAATTCCTCCTAAGGAACACTTTGAACAGTGTGGACAGGAATTAAACGAAAATCTCGGTGACGTCAAATCACCAACAGATTTTGATCCTGCTCAGAATTATATACATATGGATATTAGTATGGACATAAACGAAGATGATTTAGCTAATACAGTAGATATGAAGTCAATTCAGCAGGTCGGTAGTTTGAGTTTTTACTTGACTTTCTGTATATTCGTTTACATATTAGTTGTGCTGAATTGAATCTACGAATATGCATAGTAGTGGACACTGTTCTTCAACTTCGAACACAAATGAATACAGGGAATCTCTTTTATAAGTAAAACGACTATAAAATTTCATTATCCCGCTTAAACATTATAAAAAGAAGAAAAAAGCGTTACAACAGACACGTGATTTAAAGTACTCAGACTAACTTTATATGATATTAAGTCGAAGCGTATCTTATGGAATGTTATCTTACCAAGGAAACGTCCATAAACTTCTGCACTCAGTGTGACCGAATAGGTAGCTGGTTTTCCCAAACTCCCTGATACTCCCGAGGGTGGGGAAAGTCCGCTCTCCCTTTCGAAATGCGTATGTAACCACTACTAGGGAAGTCCTATTCATTGGCTTCTCGTAGCAGGAGTGTTGTTTACGAAATTCAGAGCACAAAACGCGAATGTCCGGGTTGGTGAGTACGTAGGATTCACCTAGCGAAGCTGGAAAACCCTGATTCCAAACCTATGGTGCTTATGGTCTTCAGGATCTTGAGTAAACAAATAGTATATAAACCTATTGTTTGTCACCGGCTATCTAGGGAGCGGATCTCTCAATGTTACTCCGCTGTTTTGTGGACTTGACTTCTGGCTCGAAGGAAAACACCTGGACAGTATCCCAGCCCACAAATTAATCCTGATTTGTGTGGCCACTATGTATTTTGATTCCTCTTGTACCAATCTTCGTGTGTTTAACTTATTAAGGCACTTTATATTCCACCGTTTTATTGCAGGTTACAACTTAATTCGACATACTTCTTTTGGACAGCTGAGTATAACTAGCATCTAACAACAGGTTACATAAATTCGCCATTGTTACCGTATTTCATTTTGACGTTTAATACTCATTGCATTAGTCTAAATTGATTCGCTTTAAATTAAGTTGATATGAATGACTAAGTAAAAAAAACATTGTGTTTATCTTCACATAAATCTTTCATTCTTTCAACAACAAAGTGTTATGGGGTTTTGGTTACAAGGTTCTCCGTTTGCAAGGTTCATTCTTGTACTTTTAAGTTTCATCCATACAGTTCTATGGTTCTATGCGAAATATCAGTTTTTGATGGTTTCCTAAACAGGCCTTGGTTAGAATGGATTTAAATTTAGTATCTAGCAAGCACTATATTTTAATCTTGTAGTTTCGTTTCAACCATAATTGTTCACCCACTAGAAAGCATTACTAGTCTAGTTGATATCTTGTTTTTCAAACTAAATGGCTTTTTTAACCAACTGTTGATACTGAAATCAAAAATCATCTCCAGCGTAAGATCTACATCGAAAGTAAAGCAGTGACCTTTTTACAACTGCATAAGACTTATATAGTAAATTTGCTGTTTGTATTAGGTGGTTAGTTAGTTGATTAACCTGTATTTCTATCAAGTAGTTACTATTTTTTAAATTTTATTTGTTTGATATGTATAATTTCTGCTTTTAACCTGCTCAAAAACCTAATGTGTCAATAATAATTATCGCTTGTAGGGTTATCAATTGAAATACCAAGTTTTATAGAAGTGTTAATTCCTTTTCAAACACTTATTCCACCTCCAACGTATTCACACAGAACTGAAATCTATGTTAAATTTTCATCACGTTTTAATCCATTGTAGTGTTTACTCACTAAATATTCTTTGATTATTTATAACATGTTGTGTTATATGAAATATTCCTTAGAATTTTTCTCAGAAAATATCCATGAAATTGTAGTTATAAGTAGCATAAGAAATATGTCTTTTTTTGTGTAAATTTTATGTGCAGCTATATATTTTCTGATTACTAAAAAGAAAATTTTGTCTTTTTTTAAAAATTGGTTGTAATGTTACATTTTTCTGTTCGTTTAGGTACTTGCAAAATCTGGTATTTTGAATTCTACTGATTTAAACAATATAAATGAAACTGGAGGAGGTGAATCCATATCAAATTCAATTGAAATCCATAAATCTTCCACTGAACAAGAACTTAATTCAGTTTCGGAAGAAAATGATTTGACTAAATCTTTAAGTGATTCTGAAGTTGCCATGGACTCTTACATAAATCGTCAGTCTGTCGAGAAGACGCATATTGACGATACTGATATTATTGAATCTAGTTTCTGAAGATGTTTTTTAAAATTTGATTTTAAAATATGTAAATAGTACATCAGTTCAATATAATTGTTACGTTTTCTTTACATTAGTAAAGAATAATTATAAAATAATATCCTAATAAGTAGAAAATAGAATTTCTATCGTTTCATGGCATAGTGTAAGTTGCTGCTTCAGAAACAATTTAATTTTCTACTCACTGGGACATTACAAATGTATTATTTTATTATTACAAACAGTCTACTCAATCCTCAATGTATTTGAAAGTAAGTGGAAAAGGACATATATTTTGTATTTTAGTCAATTGAGTAGCTACGAACAGAATATTAGTAAACTGTGGGCCAGTTTTTAAAAAAACACCATGTTTCCTGCCATTCTAGGTATTAGTGAAATTTGGTATTGTATCTACTACTGGTTTAAGCGAAAATAGTAAATACAAAGGTGCAGGAGTAACCATTTTGTAAACTTTATTTAAAGCGCATAAATTGTGGTCGTTTCGCAAATTTGCTAGTGACATCAATCACTATTTTTGTGACATCATGCAAATGCTCACAATGTCCATCCATAGTTTTTAGCGGACTGCTAGGTAGTCTTTAAACTACCTCAGCGAAAGAATAAAAGTACACAAAATGGAAACAAAAAGACGTTCTTTCCCCCAGGATCTTGCAGCGTTTTTTTAAACAAAAAGCTCACCACTTTGGTCGGCCTATCTCATTCTTATATATTCTTTGACTAATGCTCATTATTGCTAATGAATTTTGGGGATATCTTAAACCAAGCTACATCCAGGGGGCAAGAAGTTTGCTCGATTGCTTAGACTGATGACTCGCATGCACATGTGTGTTGCTAGACCTCCAAATAAACTGACAATATACGAGCACCTTATACATCAAAATTATCGTATATAAACCATAATAGCCACGGGAATCAATAATAATGATTAATCAGAAAGGCGCATAGAACTGTTGCTGAAATAAGTGATTCAGAATGCTATAAAGATTGTTGTTCATAACAAATGGTATATTGGGATCGAAGATATATGCATACCTGTATTATTGGACGTGAACGAAGAGAAAAATGAGTATATAACATGATAATACAAAAATTACCTTACCAATGTAGATAAGAATATAAGGTAAAATGACTTTTAGAAAACGAGATGAACTTGCCTTTTAGAGAGAAATCTTTGAATTAACGAATACTTATGGCAAAACCCAGTAAATTTCTGATGTCCTTGGTGTGGTTACGTCAATATAATCAAAAATTTGAAGTATGAAAACAACTGACACTTGAATTAAATGCATTTAAAGCATAAAGATTTGCCAAATTGGGTTTGCATCAGTCTATGTTTGGTTTACGAGATGCCTTAGAATTGTACGCTGCATTGAACTCACTCGTTGATTTACTAATTTGTGGCAGATATGGGTTGTGTCCGCTTTCTCATAAAAATTTTTAGCTGCCGCATTACATTTATTGCGTTTGGTAACTGCATAGAATATGTTGTCTGATTAGAGTTTGGAAAGCTGTGTCGATTAACTAAACTTCTTAGTCTGCGTCTGACTTTGAGGTTACATTTACTTTCAAAGGGTATGTTGAATTTTTGCTTGACTGATCAAAGTGAACTAGGTATTGAAAATATGGACTTTAAGGCTTAATGATTCAGCTATTAACTATTCAATACCTACTGTGTGCGCTCAGACAGTCTAATATCTAAAAAATGAACAGTTTTTGTATCGATGGAGATGTTTGTAAGCTGTCTCATAAGTGTAAAATGTTTTTATTCATTTGGTATATCAAAATGTATCAGTCCTATCCTATCATCAGATATTGGTCTATCTAATGAACTCTCTCATTTCTGCGTCTTATATCACACAAATGTTTTGATAAATACACCAACATATTATATTTCTTTTCATAAGACAAACCGATGTTATTTTGTAAGTATCAGGTATATAATTTAAATTGAAAATGCTACTGCAGGATATTTGACAAAAGCCAATCGAGTATTCTGAAACTTTGCCGAGATTTCAACGGACATCAGCCCTAATGGGCTGATGAGAATTCCGAGATAAATTATTTGCTTTTGACTCAATCAACTCCTTCACTCGCTGTGAACAATCTAAGTGATGTTGCAGTTTAGTCCTAAAATTGCAAGAAAAGCAACACATAAGTTTTCGCATTGTTACTCGAGGCGTTTGGAAGATTGGGCTTTCTGATTATCCTTATTTAGCACAATTATCATCTGAGTATTCTAGATTGATAAGTGAGTTTCCAAGTAGAAGATATATACTTGAAAATTTAAACGAAGGAAATTTCTATATGAATACTTGTAACGAGGAAAAATGGGGATAGCGAGCTGCCTTGAAGAACGCTGATGAAAGTTGCGAATTACGGCCTTGACTCAACTAAAGGTGTTCAAGTAAGTAGTCTTCAGGAGGTTTACATGCTTTCCAACACACCTTTCAACGACAAACACAACCACAAAACCTATTGGTCAAGGTAGCCAAATGCTCTCCTCAGGTCAGTGAATTTGATTATAGTTGAGCGTTGGTATTTGTTCTAGTATATTAACTTAGTCAAGACTTACATGATCACGTCTCGAGGTGACTTGGTTTACGCATTTTTGCTGTTCCAAAGTAAGTGATAAAGCAGGCTAATGTTTTAGATATTTTGTTATCTCACACCACATCACATTGATAGTATTGTTTGTTCTTGGTAGTACTACTCTCTATCTGACCTGCTTGGTATAATACAACCACAAAGAAAAAGTACTCCAACCAGTGTATCGTCACGATATAAAAGTTAGACAGTCATGCCAATGTAGCATCGATAATCAGAGCTGTAATCATTGTTAGTATTCTCGCTATGGGTCAATGAACAATTTACACAGAATATTAGATGTACTCTTTTATGATTGTATTATTGACAATGACTAGAAACTTTCCTGTAGGTGATGCGTTCCCTGAGCTGGATGACTTAGTCATTAAGCTTTTATTCTCATCACAGACAAATTTGTTAGCACGTACTTAAAAAACAAGTGAGGTGTTAAAATTTCTCAGCAGTTTGATTTATGAATTTTTTGAATTATTCTGATCAAATTTTCGAGAACTAATTTTGTGATCATCAATTCAAAAAACTGTATATTAGATCTTTTAATTTTCAATGCAAATTTATAATCTTATCAATCAAATTAAGTCATTTGACTTCTTATGACGTTTTTTTGAAATTTGAGATCACTGGAGAGATTCTTATGTTCATGAAACAAGGTGTTTAGTGATTTCATATTTAATAAAAGGTTTGTGCTATGTTATAATATAGACATATTTATACACAGTATAGAAAAGTTATTTATCTTCTACGATTTTTACATGTTATTACGTCGTTTAAGTGGTTGCATCCTTATGTCTAACCGTAATGCAAACACCATACTTCATATATACTACCAACACTGAACAAATTCTTGATTGATTAGTTCAACACAGTTTATTTGAATCTTTTATAGTAAGTTAGGTTCACATGTACAGTAATTTTAAGTTCATTGTGAATGTCTATATGGAATAATGAAAGTGAATACTGATATATTTACCTTATTAAATTCGCAACGTTGTGACCTCAACCATAAAACAGTTTGTGAGATTTTAATAGTTTATATCGTATGCTTTAAGACAATGAAAATTCTACAATTTACATAAACACTCCACAAATAATAGTTACCCGTTCATCAATGACTGGCTTTAAGATGCTATTCTTGGAGTTCTAGTGATAAGCCGTGACCACTGGAGTCCAATCATATCGGATGTGAGACAGTTATCTATTGTAGGCATTAGATGAGGGTTTGAGATGCAAACCACTGTCTGTTCAGTGATCTAGACGTTAAGTGTTCACGAGAGGAACTGAAGGTTCTGGGTCCAGTCCTCTGTCGTGAGGTTGCAAGTGCACATTTTACGGTAATCGCATACTAGGATGAAGCAGGTATTCAGTGCTCCCAGGTTTTCAGTGTTGGTCTAGCTAAGATCAGTTAAGGATTCAAACTATGAAAATGATTTGATTTCGTATCAAATTAAAGCTCACTTTTTCAATCACTAGTCATTTTTCACAATTAGTTTGTCAGTTTTGTATAAATTATGGTTTAGGTTTTTTAAGGCTCAGTCCGCTGTATTAAGTATTTTAGGGAGTTAGTTTTAGCTAATTTCAAGCTCCTAATATGTTTCATCATATTATTTTGTTAACAACTTTCGAAGACAATGTTAATTTAAACTGAACTGTGCAATCGTTCGTGGAATAAGGTAGACAATTGCGAAATAGCTTAGTTAGAAAGATGGGGAGAGTGTATCTATACACTGATGTCAAGGGATATCGAAGCATAATTTTAGATGATTTACTTCACTAAAACCAACATTTCACTACTGAGTATCAAATGTCTTTTAATTTTTAAATGAGAGAAATAATTACTGTTACAGAAGTATATATTTGAATCAACGGTTTTCTAAATTTTATGGGGTTTTCCTCTGGGAGTTTTCTTGTCTTTTGACTTAAGCGTAATCAGATTGACAAATCAGTGGAAGATATTTGAAAACTGTCAGACTCAAAAACTAATTAAACATCACTTTCTAACTCTTACATTTCGACTGATAATCATAATGATATGACTATGATAGATGATTGATTTTTCTACTTACAGCTACTGAATACAAAATGTTATCTTTCTTGAACAGCATTCTTCATGAATAAATTTGTTCAGGATTTAATAGTAATTTGTGATTGTGGATTGAGCAAAACCGAATATATCCTTTCCGTGAAGTTAGCAATCTGATATCAGGAAGTGGTGAGAAAATTATAGTTGTTCGAGAGAACATTTTTAAGGATTACGTGTTACACGAATTCTAAGAATTCCAATGTGTTAGTATTTTCAGTAGTTTGACATTTTTCATATAAACTGAATCGCTTCCCTTCACAGTTAGCCTTTTAATCATTGTTAAATCATTTTTGGACGAATCAATATGATAATTATC